CCTGTACTCTTCCTATCTGTGTCAAATGTACGAAGGAAACAAAGGACGAAATGCTTCCTCAATTTATCCAACTTACAGAACATAGAAAAATTCTAATACAGAGTATTGAAAAAATTTATCAAAGAAACCGAAAACGACACAAAAACACAATTCATTTCATCAGAGGTGAGAAACTCTTTAATATTTCTTTTCTGCTAGAAGAAATAAAAGCTGATATAAAATCTTGTCATACAGAAATCTACAACTTTCAATCAGTAATGTCGACAAAAGCTGAGAGAATAAAGTACCTTATTAACACCGTGATATGTAAAAATGAAATCAGACGGAACATTTTAATAAAAATAAATGAAGTACAACAACAACAGACGAGGAAAATATATAGACATTTTGCTATGATAGAGAATTACGAACATAACTTTGATGAGATGGCAAATAGTCCAATAACTTTCTTTTTATTTCTAAAGAAAACATGTGCTCCGTATAGAAATGTCGCTATTTATAACATAACTCTCGCCTTTACTGGAGAAATTGATATGAAGGATGTGATAAAGTTTATAAGTGAAATCAAAATTACAGAAGTAGGAAAAATAAAAATAAAAAATAAATGTCTGGTAAAACTCTTACCCATACCTGTGTTACAGAAATGTATCTCAATGAGCAGTGTTTCTGATGTAACACATATATCTTGTGTAAAATCTGACCTGCTCTGGATTAGTGATAGAGGCAGTCTAATACTGACAAACACAGACGGTCAAAGACTACGTCATATACCGGATATAGTTGAGGGTATGTGGGACAAAGGAAAACATACGGTGAATGTATATGGGGATCTTTTTTATATAAACAGGGAATGTAACATCATCCAACTCTCTGCAAATAACAGAACAAAGTCCACGCTGATGAAAAGAGAGTCAGAGACCCCAGTGTGTGTCTTCTGCTCCACCTCAAACGAAGATCTTCTGGTCGGATTTTATTTAGGCAAGGTACACCGTTATGATAAAACAGGCCAACAAATACATACAATTGAACACAACGACAAAGGTCATAGAATGTATAGTGAACCGATGTACATCACAGAGAACTGCAATGGAGATGTCATTTTGTCTGATCGGGATAATGGTGTGGTGGTGACAGACAGTGTAGGGCGATACCGGTTCTCCTACACGGGGTCTCCATTAGGACCTCAAATACTACCATACGGTATTTGCACCGACGCTTCGTCGAACATCATTGTGTGTGATTATTTCAACGAAATAGTGCAGATTATTGATAAGAATGGTACCTTTACGAGACTTCTCTTGACAGAACAGGAAGTGAGGGGCAAACCATATAGCTTATGTTATGATCACGAGAAAGACCTTATCTATGTTGGATTCTGGCGTAGTAATGATATATTAGTATACGGATGTCGAGAGGGACATGATTATCTAACAGAAAACTAACATTAGTTTTTTTTGTCATGTGACACAAAGCGGTGTAGACGTCTCTTTCAGAGCTTCTTTGTTTTTGACATTAAAAGCTCTTATCGGATATTTTCACGGGAATGTGTAAGACTTGTTCCTACCTGGTGTTTGTATTATATGTGTATATATATTATCCGGATGATATTTAAATCTTTAAAACAATCCATATACCTTTGTTTATATACTTTCGAGAGCGAAATTCACTGATATTCACTTGACTTCTTTATTGTGGACTGTGTCTATATTTTGTCATGGTATAACTGTTTAACTAGATAGAACGATCAAACCGTTTTACCTGCACAGGCGTCGGAAGCGGGGGAGGGGCTTAACAAGCTACTTTTTTGCAAATGTATACATAATATAAGCATTGAAAATTTGGGTTTTCATTTTCTTATTGGGTTAGCCCCCCCCCCCCACCTTTAATCCCCCTTTTTTCAATTGGCTTCCAACGCCTATGACCTGAAGAACTCTGACGTACCATGTTGCAACGATAATCGAGTAACGGACTTCATGCTCATGAAGCGTTTCATTGAAATAATTGGAAATCCTCTCCATTGTATACAACTGGACATGAACTTATGGCGAGTCTAGTTAAAAGGAACAGAAAAGCAGAGAAAATCCTAAAAGATGGCATATCACTGCAAACTATATCAGTATCATTTTTGGATACAAATCCATACATTTCAAATAATCATGACCCAACTGTAAATACACTTAAAGTGCGCATTTGCGGATCACCGTTATCTATAGATGAATCTTCGGTTACTGGGCTTTTGGGCAGGCTTAGAGACAAACGGAAAAACAAATTATGTATGAAAAATTAAGACACCCTGTGACAAACAAAATTACCAGTGTCCTTAATGGAAAGACATTCATGCACATTGAACCCCTTGAGAATGATACAACGTTGTCTGGTGTTAATTACTACGCTGGTCAGAGGTGTCTTTCGTTTCACTATGGTCAACCTGAATCTTAAGTGTGCTTTGATATGGAATACATGGAACAGTTTGTCAAGCTTGTTCCCCTGCGACCCTAATATGTTTAAAATGCGAAATTCGAAAGCGTATAAAAGTGATTAAACGTTAAGCACTCTCATATGTTTGAAACGAACACTGCTTATCATTAAACATATAGTTATAATTTCTTGTTATGTTAAAAAAAGTCATTAAAATATATTCAAAATAGAAAGGATCTGGTAAGCTTTTCATAAACGATTTTATCTGGGTTTTGTTAGTGCTGTTATGAAACTTCATAATTGAAATTACTGAATGAGTTAGATTTGATATAAAATAATCTACAAATCTCATGGCAGTGTTACAAAAACCATCATGAAAGTTTGTGCTATATTATAAAATTGCGAAAAGATTTTCGTTGAAATCTGTGTTACATTAACTTATTTGTCTGTAGCTGCCCTTGGTACTCTTTAGTATAATTGGCATCTGATAAGGGAGATATAAATTCCGAATGCAAGATATTGTGGAATTCTACCTTAAAATAAAGGAAGATGAGGACGGTAAAGCTGAAGTTATCTTGTTTGTTAAACAGCGATAATATACTCTTATTATACACTAACGGTTGAGTAAATAAAGGTATTTCTAGTGCAACTAAAAATTTCTTTAAACCAATAGGTACACGCTGCGTGCCTATCAAAGCAATCTCGGGACAACAATATGGATAATCTGGTAAGTTTACAGCTACATCAATGCCATTAATCTTTTTCTAGATTTAATAGATTTGTACATAATTCACTTGAAATTTATGAAGGATATGGAGATAACGAACAGTATTCATGCTCAAATGTCCACTAAACGTTTCAAATCGAGAGCAGAACAAACGTGGACCTCTTAATCATCAGAAGTGAGATCAAGTGCCATGGGAAGAGAGCATCCTCTGCTGACCGGTCACACCCGCCCTGTGCTCCTTGTCAGGATCAGAAAAAACGGGAAAATCTATAAACAATTGAGTGTGTTAAAAAATGACCGAATATTTGGTATTAAAAAATCAGTCAGCATTTGACTTAAAGATAGATTATATTTGCCGACAAGGTCTTTGTATGGACCAAATATCTTACAAAATGATGACTGTAAACGAGACTGCTAATGTCATTGTTTCATCAACTTGTTTGTCAATATTAACTTCGTTTTAGAACTGTTTATACGTACAGATATACATGTAAACCCGATATGCAGGTGATGAGGATATATTGCTGCAAAAAGAAGGGAAGTTGACGATTGAAAAGTTAAACTCATCGGGTTTATCATAAAGCTTGGTTGTAAGGTTACCAATAACGCTGTTTTCAAGTAATTATGCAAACGTGAAGCAGATGAGTCAGAGATAAGAATGGAAATAACTATTGTTAAAGTTATAAACTTCTCATTATTAGGCACCGTCAGACAGGTATATAAATCTTTCAATTTCGTTACACCCGATTGCAAACTTGAAACTCGTAACTGACATGTATTGGTCTTAATTTTTAAAGTTTTTCTTTGTTTTTATGTACATTTTCCGTTTGCAAAGTATGCATTCCTTTGTAATTTTTTATGATACTTTTCACCTGGTTTCGATGTAATGCACAAAATTTGAAAATATCATCGTAACCGAGTTGTACTTCGATGTAAATCTATTTACTCGTCAGACTTCTACAGCGAAATATATTTAACTGTTAAAAGGTCTGCGACTAGTATAGGCATTGTAGAGGATATAGCGTCAATGAACAGAAAAAGTGGCGGACTATGCATTTTTACTTGTTCAGCTTTAAATAGCAATACGTCGTCAATATATTAGTATTGAAATGTCGACTTGAAGGACACAGCAAGTGTGTTTGTTTTCCTCGTATAAGATTTTGAACAAATTCTGCTCAATAAGAATACAAAACTTAGCTCTGTTTATAATAGGGTGCAGTTGGTACCCATGGGAATTCAAATAGATTGTTGGAAAACCTGGTCTCCAAAACCACATCGGTACTGCCAATCAGAAACTCAACATCTTTTGAATGTCATTTCCAGTGTACTTGTGTGTAAAATCGGCTTGTTTTTACCAAAGTAGTTTTGAAAATAAGCAATAAGGTTAGCAGATTTACGAGATCCATTTTTATTAAAAAGCAGATGTTGTTGATGTATAAAAGTCAGGACCCTAATTTTTTGTGATGCATCTATTTTTTTTGTATCACATCGAAAGAAAACGTTAATGGTAACTTAACAACCAAGCCCTATGATAAACGTGATAACTTTAACTTTTTAAGCCCCAACTTCCCATTCTTATGTAACAATATACCTTCATCACCAGCCTACAGAGTTGATATATCTCAGTTGATTTGATACGCAATAATATGCTATATATATGAAAAATTTCTTAAATTAATGACAAACAAGTTGATGAAACAAGAATATCAGCAGTCTCTTTTAAATTCATCAAGTCGTTAGTTTTATGGTCGATACAATGACCTTGCCTGCAAATACATTTTATCATTAAGTCAAATGCTGAATGATTTATTTCATACTAATTTTAAGTCAATTATTTATGATAAGAATTGATGACGGATTTTCCCGTCATTTCCCAATCATGACAAGGCGCACATTTTGAGTGTGAGCAGTAGGCAAGGGATGCTCACTCTTCCATGGCACCTGGTCCAATCCCCGATGTTTTGGAGGTGCCTCATCATGAGGTACCGGCATGATTTTAACTGACCAATCAGCAGAATCAGTACTGCATTATGGGTTACTACGAATACTACAGGAATTTTTAGCTTGGAAAAGGGAAATTGTGTAGTTGTAAATGAAAAACATTTTTAAAAATATTATTTTCATGCTCATAATGACAAACAATTCATTTGTCAAATAAACGATGGAAGTCTGTGTTTCTGAAAGTCATACTGCAAAAGCGAATTGCGTCTTTATTTATTCCTTTTTGTACTATTGGCGAATACAATTGCTAGGTGGATTCCCTGGCCGAACACGTGATCACGAACGTAAACAAAGTTTTGTCCATTTAAATGCATAAGAGATGCTGCTCGTTTTCCTTACCCTTGAAGCGCTGGTGTTCTGAACTAGATACAAACTACATTTTATTAAACTTTTTTTTCAGTTAACAACAAACTAAAAACGCCCGTAACATTTTTAATAGTTTCTTATCTTTGTATTTTGTTCGTAAGAGCATTTTTTTTAAATTTTGCAGTCCATTGACATGATCCTAGATTGACCTGAACTACGTGTTCGAAGTAAAATGTAAACATGTATTTGGTGTAAACGTTGCTTTTCATTCAACGATTGGTCAGATGCTCGTAGTAAGATCCTCTGTGCGCATTTACATGTATAACAATAGCCAGATAAGGCAAACAAAGGTTTTTCAGTGTAGAGGATAATACACATCTTTTTCTAGCGAATCGGTCACTAGTGAGCTCTAATATTTGCCGAAAAGTAAAACACCCATTCTCAATATAAGGGCACAAATACCTCTCTGATTTTTTAAAAAATGAAGTTCAAGATAACAATTTTTCTATCAATTACCTTTGAAAGAAAGTATCTGAAGATTTTGTTTCCAGATTTTTTTTCATCAAATTATAATACATGGAATAATGACAAGACGATAAAGTAGAGGGTGATTTTATTCAGAAATGTAGCTTGAAATGTACGTTACTCTTTCTTCAATGTCCAAAAAAATATGTCAAAAAAAATGTAGTCATTAAAATCACAATTGGAATATCTCATCTTAACACCAGCACATCCTACCAACTCTGTCAGCAACAAATGTAGTCATTAAAATCACAATTGGAATATCTCACATCCTATCTGTCAGCAACATATTTTCGCGGCATACGAACGTGCGTTTGATTTTTCCTTTTAAAAAACAAAGGTTACTTTTTGATCCAGATGTATAAAAACATTTTTTAAATATATGCTTTAAATTCTTCTCTCTGTTTTGTTAAGAGCGATCAGTTTGGAATCTTGTCATTTTTAATAGATACTGGAACCTAACATGTACATGCAGTAAAATTCTTTTTTGTAGTTACTGTCTTTTTTAACATATATCCATGCCGACTTAGAAAACTATGTAAATGTAACGTACATTTCAAGATATATTTCTGTTTAATAAAAAGCTTAAAATTCATCTAAAATTCATTTAAAAATTCATCGTTTTGTTTCAGTTTATTCCAAAAAAGATTCTCTATGTAATCACATTGTGTTATATGTCACAATCACCACTATAAAGACACGATTGCCTCAGAATATGAGTAGTTAACGTACATTTCAAGCTTGTAATAATATGTAAATTAGTAATAAGAAAATATTGAAAAAAAGCAATTATTGACATAAAAATCATATCAATGAAGCGTTTTAAGGCAGTAATATAAGAAATCATAATGTAACAAACGAGGTTATTGTCATCAACTACATGCATATGACTGTCACGTCACTTCGGTAACGTTCATTTCACATATTATTGGGGAGTCCCCTCCACCTCAGTTCATTACCATTCTTTTTTGCTGTTTCGCTGAAATTGACACCGGTCGTAGCCTAGTTACTTCTTACTGTGTGCAAGGGTACAGACAAAAAAAATTTAAGAGTCAGATGTATTTTGCTATGATCTAACAAATGTTCGTGTTTGGTCATTGAAACTTAACATAAATCTATTCCGAATATATCCATCGACAGTCTTGTTAACAATTTCATTTAGTATGTTGCAACACCGTTTTTCAAAACACAAACATACGTGCTTTTCAGCAGATCTGGAAAAATATAACCCAAAATGCAATGATTCAAACAAAACTGAGTATTCAGTATTTGAAATGTACGTGACCGTCTTGTGTTCTGGGTTTATTTGTTTTGTTTCTTTTTTTTTGTTTTTTTTTTTACCAATTATAAGCCTTACCTTGTTTTAAATTATCAACAACAATTCAATTAATATTGACGAAAAGTCGCGTATGAAAAGTAAACAAACTGCAAAAAGGTTGCCAAAGATGAATTTAAGACACTTAGAAATAAATTTTCTAGCATGTGGTAACAGTTTAAAACATTTACGAGGATTGGGGGTGCATTTAGATGGATTTATGTGGCCAGTTGTTAAATGGATTTTAACGATAATTTTGTTTCGCTCGTGTAAACGCAATTCATTGACTAAATTTAAAAAAATGTCAGTTAGAAATACATAAAATGTACGTTACCATACGTAACGTACATTTCAAATATAAAATCAATTCTTTTCCACAAGCATACGTTAGACACGCAATATATTGATACTATTTGAACTTGCATATCATAAGAAATGCATCATACAGGTTTCGTATTCAGAAATATATACCAGGTATCAAAATTATATTACATATAATTGACCTTAATATATTTTTTTCCTCAGCAGAGACGTTTCTTTTCATTAATTTTGGGATTTAGCCGACCTCCCACCTTTGAAACTTTCCTTTGTGTACATATTCGAGTGTGTGAAAGTATTAGAATACATGAAAATTCGTGCGAGATTCACTTAATTCGAATTTCATGGTAACGTACATTTCAGTCACGTACATTTCAAATGATCACTTTTCATGTAAAAAATAATTTTTATTTGTGTTAAGCAAAACGTCTTGGCCAGTTTACAGGATACAAGGGGTTGCTTATTCAGAGTCGTCTCATATTTTCTACTTAATATGTATTCTTAATGGAAGAATATAGGTAACGTACATTTCTTTCTTATCTCTACGATTGAAAATGTCTTTCATTCCGTAAACATATTTATAAAAGTTGCTCAAGTTGTTCAATTTCATGTTACATTATCTAAGTAGGAGTAATTAATCCTTTGAAATTTCAAATTTAGCCCATCAATAAATAAAGGAGAACAAAACTATCAGGTGTATAATCTTTGTGTTTGCTTGTAATGTGGTTGAAATAGAATTAAGCGACAGGGACATTGCACAATAAAAATTATTTATTGTTATGAAAAGAAATATATATGATACAAGGTTTAACTTATCAGAAAATTTTTACTTGAGAATCAAAACTATATATTACACAGAGGGGATTCAGAATAATATTTGCCTCGGCGACAGTAACGTACATTTCAAATAGGCTACTATATTTGAATTTGGAACTCCTTAAATACCCTTTCAGATCGATAATCGATAATTATATGAATTCTTATTCATTGTTATATGACTATTTATAATGTTGATTTAAAAATTACATCAGTGGTATTTCTTTTAAATGAAAATGAGGCGACATTATTTGAGCTCTTATATTGAGAATGGGTGAAAAGATATATCATTTTAACACCTCCTCCTTTAGCCACCCTTTTTTTCTTTCAGAAAGGTCTGGAAACATTTATTACAGGACATGTTTTCAAAAGAAACAGGCTATAGCAATATAATGTTTACTGCCAATTTTATTTATAAAACCGGTTCTACCCTAAAACATTTGAATAGATCAACATGGTACCACGTGTCTTGTATTTAAATCACAATAACATTAGTAGGGGTGTAATGAATGTCTATTGAAACTCATGGTTAGACCCGTGTTACAGAAATATGTTTCAATAACAGGTGTTAGTGATATAACACATATTACCTATGTGAAATCAGACCGGATTTTGGTTAGTGATATAAACAATATTATACTGACATACACAGACGGCCGTAAATTGGATTATCTTGCAGGTATATTGAGATATAAATGGAGTTATGGAGTACACACGATAAACCTTACAGGTGATATTTTGTATATTGATATTAATTATAACATTAACAAAGTGTCTATACACAACATAACAAAGTCTACAGTTACAGAGAAAAAAGACCCATGGGAACCACATTGTGTCTATTAATTTGCTCCCCAATCAGTGGACATGTAATAGTCGGGATAGTTAATACAAACACCTGGACTGGCAATGTAACAAGGTATACCGAAACAGAAGAAATGCATGAAATACAATACGACAACGAGGGAAAGAGACTGTATAACAAACCTAACTACATAACTGAGAACCGCAATGGAAATGGTGTTGTGTCTGACTGGGTCAGTGGAGTAGTTGTGACAGATCGTGGATGCAGACATCGATTCTCCTACACAGGGTCTCCATCAAGATCACGACTTCGACCTCTAGGAATCTGCACCGAAGCACTTTCAAGCATCCTTGTGTGTGATTATACCAGCGGCACTATACAGATGATTGACAGTGACGGCCACTTCCTGTCACTGATACTGAGAAGACAACAGGATATAAACAGACCTCACAGCCTAGGCTATGATTACAAGTCTCATCTTCTCTGGGTAGGATCATTTCACAGCAATACAGTATCTATATATAGATATATATAGAGACAAGGCTATTTGACAGATGATTGAAATTTGGTACTTAGATGCATGCATACATGCTAAAATTATATCTTAGTTTAGCAAAAACACAAATTTTATCATTGTTTACCACTTAAACTGTACACAAAAAGTCATTTGAACATGTATACCTCCACTTTGGGGCAATCAAGTTTAACGATAATTTTTTGCAGAATTTGATAAAAGAAAAGGAAAAATACATAAAGATGGAACAGTTTAAATACTATAACATTGATCTCAAGTCAATAAGTTGTATGAAAAATACTAAAAAATAGGTCCTTGCAGGCACTTAGTTAAGAAATTATTAATTCTGTCTCTATGTGTATATAAAACGGCGTTTAGATTCAACAGACAGAGTACAAAGTCTTAGTTTCAATAAATAAAGTATAAAAAGTATTGTATATGCTCATAAATGACAATTCACCTTTTATTCTATTTGTTTACTATGTAATAATTGCATTCAGGGCATGCATGGGCATATATTTGACTTTATGCATTTGCCAGATGCCATACCAGAGTTCGTTGACATTTTGTCTTCCTAAGATATATGAGCAAACTACATGTACCACCGGGAGAAAAAAAACGATTTAATCTGGAGTAATTTTGGCATAAGCAAAACGGGTTTCAATGTGTACTTCTTTAAGTTGCCTCATCTTCTGAGAAAAAAATCTTCAGTGAAGATATGTTGGTTGCATTCTTTTGTCCTTTCAAAATTTATACTAAACACCGTAACGCATGCAATAATTTTCAAGAGTTTGAAAGAAAATACATATCTTTAATTTTTTCTCTTTATGATTGTGGAAAAATATTTAAAAGTATAATTGTAGATGGATTTTTTCCAGTTATGACAAGGAGCATACGGCGGGTTGATGGGGATGGTAACTCCTCCAGTGCATCTGTTAAGCTCTTGAATCGAGTCCCGACTTTCCTGACTGACCTAAGCCGATGAAAATATTTGTCAATTTTTGTTCCACCAAGCCAATCAGCATTTAGGCGTAACAAATAAGTCTACCGTTTTATGAGACCTTACGTTAAAGGCCTTGAATCACGACAGATGATGCCTTGAAAATAATTTCTTATTACTAAAGGTTCATAAGTGCTGAATAAACGACGTGTAAATTTGAAGCCCCTTTGCATTTACACCTTTCTCTCTCTTTTTTTATTATCAAAACCTTGTTTTGATTTGCAATTATTAAAACACTACCTGAAAAAGACTCCTCTCTTTTGGTAAATCTTATATATCTGATGGATATTAAATAAAAAAGATTAACAAAATGCATGTCAAAGCAATGGTTCTTAAAGTAAATATTATAAATGTATGAATACTAAATGAAAATCTTTATCTCTTATTATGTCACAGCAGAGTCAACAGGGACTAGACGTTTGTTTTCCTTAACAATCCTTTAATTCATGAATCAAAACTAACGAAGCCATGCATCGCTGCACCCTTCATATAAGTGTCGTTCTCTTCTCGACTTCTTCTGCCTTTCAGCATTCTTTTCTTATGTAATAAATAAATAAACATCGGTTTGTTTAAATTCAATACCGAAGCATAACGATTTTTTTTCTTTTCTGCTTTTTTTTTGTGCTGTTGGAGAGTTCTTTGTCCCAAAATTTACTTTTATACCCATCGATAACACGCCAGTTTGAATACACAACTATGTTGCAGACATTTTAAATTCTTGTCTTACATATTCACGGAGCAAGCTGGCATTGAACGTTTGGTGATATTCGGAATCTCTTTTCTAGAGATGTGATGGGTAAGTGCTACCAATGATTATCATTATAAATTAACAGCGAAGAAAAGGCATTATTTGACACTGATTGTAAACTTGAAATATGTTGAACAATGTTATAAAGGTATTATTAAAAGTAAATAGTAAAAAAAGGAAGAGAAAAGATGATATTCAATACTCTTTGGATTTTTTTTTTTTGTTTTCCTATTCAATTGTATTTTAACTCTAATGTGTAGCTTCCACTTTGTTAAAATTGACAACTTTCCATTACTTGAACTATAAAATCTTACATCTCTAACCAAAACATTTCTCTAGAAAAATTGAAGCCAGGTGAAACATATGGAGATAATGAATAGTATTTAAGACCAAAAGTCCATATGTGACCGTGTCATATTGATGAAAACACAGTTATAGGGTTGCATGGATTCTTTATTGCCATGGATCTCGTTCCACATGTAACAATCAATAAAGTGAAAATATTGACCCTATAAGAAATAAAATACAATAAGTAAATGACATCAAACAATATATTCAGTTCAATGCAGTCCTCATACATCGACACGGATTTTAATAAAAATAGATTTAACAGATTATATAAATGTTCCAAATTCATGAATGCGTAAAAAGGGAAATAACTCTTACAAATTTCAGAATTACCAAAATCGTGTTTAGATAGAAATTTCCGTAAGTTTGGATAATTTATCAAAGTATATTAAAAATGTAAAAACAAGTAATAATTCCTATAGCGTACCAATTTATGGAATCAGGCTGAGCACTAACAAAAATGCTGGCTCGAATATTACATCTATACTGAACCTATATAAAAACAACAATCACAGGTTCAGCCGTAATCTCAAGACAATATTATAGCTGATCATAAAAATAATAAAACTGTACAAATTACAACATCTATATCTAGTATTGCTTATAATCAATATGATTACTGATAATAATGCTTTACAAGAGACAATGAACTTTATTTCAAAACTTCACTCGTTCTCTCTTTCAATCAAAGAAATTATATTACGTAAAGATAGAAAGATAAAAGTAGAAAAAATAGATATGACTTACTGTATGTGATCTGTATACTAATACTCAATGTAATATGGTAAAACCCAAATGTATATATTGTTGTCACCGAGACAGAATGGTCTCACAGCCGGTAACTTTGGCTGTCCGTGCGAGAAGGAAGTGCCCCCCGCACACAGAACTTACCGCCAAAACCCTTGGCCAATAATTAAAACTACGTTATTCGTAATGTCAAAGGTCGACAAGGTCAGCCAGTCAGAATTAGTAACATGCAAAGTGAAAAGTGCAATGATGATAATGATAACTATAAAAACAATTTGAGATAAATAAATATTCTTTATTATATAATATTTATTTATTAAAACCACTCTGCCACACATAAAGCAAAACAAAATAGGAGCAGACCAAACAGGGACCTCAAAAACACCAGAGGTTGGACCAGGCTCCATGTGTGAGCATCCCCTGCCTACCGGCCAAACTCATCACGCGCCCCTACCAGGATCGGGGAAACAACGGAAAAATCTTTCGTTAATTCATTGTATAAATAATGGACTTACAATCAGCATGAAAAATGTCAGCCAGCATTCGCCGAACGACAAATTGTAGTTGCTGACAAGGTCACAACATCGACCATAGAACTTACGAAATGATACTTTAAACGAGACTGCTGATATTCCTGCCACATCAATTTGCCCATAGATTATTAAATCCATCTTAGAAAGTGCTCACAGATGGAGCACGCTCCCGCGCATCGTACCAGCCGCGAAATATAAACTCTGCATACAGGTGATGAAGGCACACGCTTCATATGAATACAAAATAGGTCTGCTTATTACGTAGCGCAGTTGGTACCCATAGGAATTTCAATATATTGCTGGAAGACCTGGTCTCCAAAAACAACATAGGTATTGCTAATTAGAAACTGAGGCATTTTTATTATGTTGGCTTCAAAGTACTTGTGTGTACACATGAAATTTATGTTTTTAACAAAATAATTGAAACAAATGACCAATGACAAGGTAAGTAATTTGACGAGTTCCATTTTTTTAAAGCAGCTGTCAATGATATAAAAAAAACTGTACTTTAATCATGTCCCTTTTATGAGTCTTAAAATGAAAATTTAATTATATTCCTGAAAATATCAAAAATAATAAAAGGTGAAAAGGTATGTACATAAATATGTGGAAGTAACGAGCAGTATTAAAATCGAAGTCATTTAAACATTACAAAATAGGAGCAGAGCAAACAATGACCTCTAAAACATCAGAGGTGGCGATCAGTTGGAAAAACGTAAGTCAGAATTTGACTTACTGATGAAGTTGTGTTTTTCTGACAAGGTCAGTGTATCGACCATAGAACGTACGAAATGATTATTTAAAACGAGACTATCGATATTCATTGCATCAACTTGTATATCTTTATTAAAACAAGAACATCAAAGAGAGCGTGCTTTTCATACAATTTTAACTCGTGAATAAACTTAGCATGTTTATGATTTTTTTGCAAAATTATTTTGTTAAAAAGGCATTACTATTTGCAATTTTTTTTGGTTAAAAATGGCATTCTTATTGTACACACAAGTTCTCTAAAGTGAAATGAATTCAGATGAACAAACTTATCTTATATTCCAGTAAGCTATTGATACTACCATAGGCACTAATAGTGCTTCCTTATTAGCACATCTGTTTATGAAGTCATTCGGAGCACACATTCCCATGAAAATGTCTTCATACAGAGAAAAAAATCTCGCTGTATAGTTTTTATCGTCAACTTTCCCTAGCAATATAGCACAAAACCTGCCTATTGGACTGCTATCTCTCTTGCTTGGAAATAAGTTAAGGATTCAATGATATATATTTCTTTTTTGCTATATGTCTATGAATGATACAATTATCCTTTTGTTGATAGAAGCTTATTTTAATCCGGCAGACATCTTTAATTGTTCTTTTTATTTTACAATTTATCTGATCATGAAAGAGAGCACATGGCGGGTGTGCCATGTCAAAAAGGGGTTACTTACTCTTTCAATGCACCTGATCCGATCTTTGTTTCAGGGGTCTCTGATTAATCTGCTTGCAATTTATATTGATTAATTGGACTTTAATTATGATTATTAATCAATTTCGTTTACATTTGTTATAGTAATATTATGCTTTAACTTTCAATTTTGTTCTTTAATATGTTTTTTAGATACATTCGGCAGCTGTTACTGTTGACATCATGGATGCGATAAAATTTATCTCTCAGAGTAAAGTACGACAGTGTTCTAAGTGTCAGAGGAGGGAAACATTATACTACTGTGACACGTGTAAACATGATCTGTGTCTACTGTGTAAAAAACAACATGTAATTGATCTTCACACCATTTATCATGATGTCATGATTTACCGTGAAAAATATGGATACCTATCAAAGAAGGAGAACTGTCGGAGACATAAGAACCAATTCTATGAAAAGTATTGTAATTCTTGTAAACTTCCAATCTGTAGACAATGTAAAGAGCACAGGCAACACAACGTACAGAACATACACAAAGTTTATAAAGCAAAGCGACAACTAGAAGGAGAAACTATTCACGAAATTAGAAGTGAGACTCTCTATAACAGCTGTTTTCTCTTGGAATGGATAAAAATTAACAGAAGAGGTTGTGATAAACGTATCTCAAATATTCAGTCAATGCTGACACAAAAGAACAGTATATTAATGGAAGAAATCGATAATTTCATTGCTGGTATGATAGGAAGGCATAACAGTCTTATTCATAGATTAAAACTAGAGAAAAGGAAACTTTTGAGCACAGAGATGTACGCACGGAAATTTGACCAATTAGTGAATAGTCCAGTAAGATTGCTCTTATTCCTAAAATCGACACATCAAGCCAATATAAACGAAATCCCAAAGTTTACACAATACAAGTTTCACTTTCTAACTGCGGACATCAGCATTGAGGATGTTGTTAAGTTACTGAAAGAAATTAAAGTGAAAGAAGGAAAGAGAATAGTTAGAAATAGATATCTGTTGAAATTAATGCCTGAAGCAGTATTACATAGATCAGTTCCAATTAAAGGCGTCCATAATATAGAACATATAACATGTTTTCAATCAGAACGATTCTGGGTCAGTCTTCCTAACAAACTCATCTTGCCGAGAAAGGCAAGTGACCCTTTATATAATGAGACATATAAAAGAGCTGGGATGGGGGTGCACACTGTGACCATTACCGGTGATCTTATTTATATAGACCGGGATTATAATATAAATAAACTATCCAAGGATACGAAAACAAGTTTTACACTGGTGAAGAAAGCAAAACCATGGATACCACTCTGCATTGCAAGCTCACACTCCAATGGAGATATCTTGGTTGGGATGTGGAATTACAATAAAGCCGAGGTAAAGCGTTATAACAAAACTGGTGAACACATGCAGACGATACCACAAGGCAAATCAAATCAGGGACTTTTTGGTTATCCTTTATTCATCACAGAGAACCGTAATGGAGATATTGTTGTTTCAGACAAGAAACATGGTGCTGTAGTGGTGACAACGCGGGAAGGAAGACATCGGCTTTCCTACAAAGGACCTTCGTCACGATTACAACCTCTTGGCATCTGTACAGATGCGCTATCACATATCCTGGTGTGTGATGATAACACCAACACAGTACATATGATTGACGAAGATGGCAATTTTCTTTCAAAATTATTAACGAAACACCAAGGGATAAAGAAACCAAAGAGTCTGTGTTATGATGAAAGAACTCACATGCTTTGGGTAGGATCATCTGGCAACAGAATAAATGTATACAGTTACATAGAGAGGAAGCACAACTTCAAAATGTAATGTTGTTGAGTAAGTTACAAAAATACACAACAAGTGATGACATTTAACTTTACCTGTAATGTCTACATTGTAAAAAGTCAAAATATCTTCCCTTTGAAAAAATAGATTTACAATGATAGAGACCCGAGGCGTGTGAATCTTTGTATTGAATTATCAGTAAAACGCGTTCATAACAAAGTCGCTGGGACCTATCAAATTACTCTGCTATATTCTTTATTCGTTACATTCGTATAGGAAATTCGTAAAATTTGCATAGCTGGAAATCCAGGACAACTTCATTATATCCATGAATTCGCTATATCCGTGTTCGTACTAAACGAGTTTTGCTTTATTTAGATAATAGAATCCAGAAGAGGTTCATACATGTAAGCACATACCATTCTATTGTTAAAAATATAAGTAAAATATGTTAAATGAAATGAAGGATATGGAGATAACGAACAGTATTCAATATCAGAGTCCATAAAACAATACAATATAGGAGCAAAGCAAACACGGACCTCCGAAACATCAGAGGAGGGACCAGGTGCCATGGAGGAGTAAGCATCCTCTGCTTACTGGTCACACCCGCCTTGTGCTGTTTGTCGTGATCGGAAAATAGCGAAAACATGCGTTGTCAATTCAGTCTATAAGTAATAAACTAACTATTGGTATAGAAAACGCCAGTCAGTATTTGACTCAATAATAAATTGTATTTGTTGACATGATTTTGAATTGTTTTATGTAGCAATATAGCAATATATCCTTATCATCTGTATTTGGGGATACGCTCCGAGTTGTTCCGATACACATCTACGTATAAACAATTTCTAAAATGGTGTAAGCTATTGACAAATAAATTTGAATAAATAAACAAATAAACATGAATGACAAGTCTTGTTTGAAGTTATTATATTGTAAGTTTGATGGTCGATTCAATGACCAGGCATTCTCCTCTTCTTCAAATTTATTCATAGACATTTATTTGAACACTGAAATAATGTCTACAGAGTTTCTACCGATCAAGACAGGGTACAAGGGTTGTTTTGAGACTGAATAACATGGATTCGTTTTCCTCTATGGATTCGTTTCCCTTGTGGCTTCTGATCCAATCTATGCTATTTTGGAGGATCTTGTTTTCTCTTCTCGTGATTGTTATTGAACGGGACTAACGGCTTCAATATAAAGGATATCCAGTGATTTGTAGTTGGATTTGGATTTTTTTTGCGAGTGAAACAGGATTTTTTAAAATTTTACTGGTGCGCATTTCAAAAAGGCCTGTCTCCCAATGTTTTTGTATTTAAGATAAATTGAATGTGCAATTTTAATTAAATACAAGAGTAATTATTTCAACCAAGTATAACAAGAGAATTTGATTTTAGTTTAGCATTTGCATTTAATTTATCTACATGAACCAGTTTTTACGATTGTAGGGGACAACCTTGTATTTATCTTTCATACACCTCAGTGAACAAGACTCTTATCTTTCCTCCAAGAACCTTAATTCGCAGTAGTTAAAATGTTAGTAAATGCACAGTATTTTTTGTTCTCCTCCTTGCTTGTTTTAAGTGGAGTATATAGTGAATCCATTAAGGGGGTGGATGGGAAAATTAAAGTTCTAGAAAGGAAAATTGAGAACTTAAGTGCTTTAGTACTTAACCTTAATACTGAAAACGAACATTTGAAGAACAGAGTGAATACACTTGAGTATATCGTCAGAAAAACGAAGATAATGAAGGGGAAACAATAAGAGAGGAACTAGAAAAAGTTGTGCAGGAGACCGGAATTTTAAAAGATGACAAAGGAATGAGGAACAAAAAGTTAAAGTTCGAGGGTGCCAATAAAGAAAACAATTTCCCCAACCCATCGAAGACTGAACCTGGGCTAGTACAAAAAAGGATAGGTAAGACTTCTTACACTTCTTTTAGTCAAATTAATTCCGTTCTCAGCGTCAGAAAGCAATCATATAGATCTATTAGTAATCATAAGATATTTCTTCATTTTACTAGTTCCAGTCACTTCATTGCCTATCCAAGTAATAGCTTTTCATGCCTATATACCAAAGGATAGCCCGGGTCCATTGCCTGCGCACCATATTCTTAAGTTTGACGTCGTTCCACTATACAAAGGAAACGGTTACAATAAAGCCGATGGTATATTCATTGTTCCGGTGTCAGGAACTTACGTCTTTACTTGGGCTATTATGTCGCATGCTCACGGCACCGTTGGCACCCAACTGATGAAAAACTCGGACGTTATTGGGACGCGACTTGCTGACTCGACTACTTCTACTGTGTGGGATTTCGCTACAGGAACAGTGGCAGCTAATGCGGTTCAGGGAGACCATGTCTTCGTTCAGCTCAAGATAAATTCTGCAGGAAACGTGGGCAGCATTCCATACAGCAGGACCACGTTTTCTGGATGGCTTTTACACTAAACGGTTTGATAAAAAAAAAACCGAAATGGCCTTGATGTTATGCCACATTTTACTTTATTAAAGGGTTTTCATGCTTTAAATTGTACTTCAACGGAAAGAGTCGGGCTTAAGTGAATTAAACTAAGAAAACAATTTCTCATCATACAATGTACATGTACTTACCTTTTAAAGAAATTTCACTACAATGTTTGTGTTATTCATTTTAGAGTTGTTTTTTTTTCTTGTATTATCATTTAACGGATACAAATTAACCATGCATCGGACATTTTCTGATGACGAATAGTTCTAGTTTTCAAGATCAAAATTCAATAAAACAATACAGAAAAGAAGCAAAGCAAACACTGACCTCCAAAACATCAGAGGTGGAATCAGGTGCCATGGAGGAGTGAGCATCCCCTGCCGACCGGTCATACCCGCAGTGTGCTCCTTGTCTTGATCAGGAAATAACGGAAAAATCTGTCTTCAATTCAGTGTATTAAGAATTAAAGAATAATGAGTATGAAAAATGTAATTCAGCATTTAACTCAATGATAATTTGTATTCACTGACAAGGTCCTTGTATCAACAAAAGAATTTACAAAATGATAACTTAAAACGATACTGCTGATATTCTTGTTTTATCAGCTTGTTTGTCAACAATTTTCCTCGTTTTAGAAATTATTCATACGTAGAGCATGCTCTTGTGTATAGAATCAACGGAAAGATATAAATCTGTATGCAGGTTATGAAGGTTTATTGCTGCATTAGTAAGGGAACTTGACGATTGTAAAGTTATAAAGTCACAACGTTTCTCATAGAATTTGGTAATTAGATTACCATGAACGTCTTTTTTCCAATAAAATATACCAAAATGAAACAGATCTGTCAGACTCTGTGGTATCTTTTATCTCAATTTCACCGAGATGTACGAAAAAAAGGATGAAATCGAAATTATCATTGTTCATTGACAATGTGTCTTTGATATATGTAAATGTCATTCAACTTAAGCCAACCTTTATGGAACGCCGTAACTGCCTTATGTGTAGAACCTTCATTATATGCTGACACTATTTTTCATTATATGTTGCTTCTTTATCCACATAAGGCAGTTACAGCGTTCAAAAAACGTTAACAGCAAGTGTTTTCTTCTTTTTCCGAAATATGGTTGAAATATTGCCGATCCGGCGTTAAACAATTACAATCAATCAATCAATCTTTTTTTCTTGCTTAAAATTTTTATTAATTTGCAAAGAATTTTGAATTAAATGTTAAAACTGGTCAGTATAGCGTTGGTCTGGCACCATACTGATACTTTAACAGGTTGGGCACAGTTCCTTTTTCGGGGAATTATTACTATAAAAGGGAACTATTACCCTTTTCAGTAAAAAAAATATTACTGAATTGGGGAATTTTCACTCGTTTAGCCTCTATTCTCGTTTTTGTTTTGAGTAAAAGATAAAGTGCAAGAATATTTTCACATCCTCTAAATATTTATCGTCTATTAAATGTATGTGTGCTCAAAACTGCAATATTTATTGCTGCAAAAAGCTGAAAAAGAGTGGTGAAATATTTCTATGATATAGATTTCTTATTGAAGCTTACCTGTTAAAAAAATTGTGATAATGGATACGTTCAGCTCTTGCTAACTTGTTCATGAAATTATTCGTTCTATACTATTTCTTTAAATGAAATCGTAATAATAATTTCAAATACCATTGCTTCTTTTACAGATGAAAATGATTATTTGAAATATTAAATTTCAAACGACATTCTTTTAAAATGGTTGTAGAATGAATGTCCTTATTAGATTCCATACTTTTAGTACCATTTATCAACAGTGAAAATGATTAAATCTCATCTTACTCTTGTCTGCAGCACTGAAGGACCGAATTTTTTGGTCAGCGAGGTTTGTTTGACAACGATTAAACACATCACATCGTATCTTTTATGCACTTTTTATTTAATAAATGGATTAGAGCCACTATCTAAAAAATGTGACAAAAGTTCCCGAATTGAGTAATGTTTTTATTACTGAAAAGAGTAATAGTTCCCTTTTATAGTAATACTTCCCCGAAAAAGGAACTGTGCCCAACCTGTTTAATGCTTAAAGTCAACGAGAGCTGGGTAAAGGTAGGTCTTCATTTCATAAATGGTGATGTTTTCATGTTAGAGAAACATTCCTGAACAGTGCATAAAACAATATGTTTATAATTTTTATTTTAAAAAAAATGTATCGGACTTTGAATTCATCAGTCAACAGTTATGAGCTCACTGTATTATTCAAGTACATTGTAAATGGAGTTTTCTATTTATTTTTTGTTCACTGAAGACGCCACCATATTTTGATGAAGGCCTACTGCCGAAAGCCTTAGTCAACTCTTACTAAATATAAACAACCACACGAATATCAAACATTGACACAATGTCACTTGTGATACTGTACTACATGTATTTACGATGATTTGATACAAGTCATAGTTCCATCGAGACGAATGATAATAAGTATTTTGTATCTCATCGCTTATGTGGACGATAAAATCTTTCTATGCTGGTATTTATGTTTTTGCAAAAAAATTGATAGCTTTTATTTATTGCTTTCCAACTTTAATGTAAAGCCCATCCAGAAAATGTAGTTTGGCTTCTTACGATGCTTCTTACACTTCCTCTAGAATTGCTCCCCATCTGTACATATACATGATATCCTTTATTTGTATCAACAACAACTGTTCCCCTAGAAAAATCTCACACATTAGAATTTGCCGAGTCGGCATATCTTGAACCAATTGTATCAGCATTTTTCGTTAATCAGCTATCTACCTGTCCGTGAACGTCCGACATGATTGCCCATGTAAATACATAGGATCCGGATGTTGGAACTATAAATAAGCCGTCACAAGCGTTGTATCCACCGCCCTTGTTAAGAGGAACAACATCGAACTTCAGAATATGTTGTACAGGCAATGGTCCCAAACTATCATTTGACATGTAAGCATGGAAAGCGATAATTTCCATCGGCAAGGAAGTAGGTGGCACTGATAAAATTATAAATAAGTGAATTACAATCATATGTTTGTTTTAAAAATCACTATAGACTAAATGTTAGAAATGATTCAAATGATATAAATCTTACCGATCCTGTTACGTATAAACTTTTCTGGATTGTCATCGCGTGATTTAGGAACCATCTGTCTTTCGTTGACACTCCCAAGCTCTCTTTTACTATTGACAGTCGGTTCGTCACCCCCACCCACCCCCCCAAATCCAAGAACCTCCCAAAACGTCTTCATTTTCCATCCTCGTATTATCGTCTTCACCACCATTACAAGCTTTACAGTTTCTCAGGACATTCTCCATGGTTTAAACCTGCTTCTTCAACTGATCGTTTTCAGAGCTCAGGCTAAGTACAGTTGCACTCAGAATCTCTAGCTTTGCCTCCAAGGCTGCAACTCTCCCATCCAGCTTCTCGATGGACACACAACAGACAACACTTAAAACAAGCAACAGATAAAACGCAATACACTGTATACCTAGTCTCATTTTGTCCGTAAATGAATTTCCTATATAAAACGATCAAGTTTTCTGAAAATCATCGAAGATAAGAAGTGTGGACAGTATATACTATCTATGTTTTATGATAAAAGACGTAGCATCACAATTCATAGAGAAATGCGTTTTAAGTTGTTTAGTCATAGAAGTTGCAGAGACTACCTTTTTTTAAATTTGTGATATCAAGGATAAAGAGAAGTGTCGGTTGTAGTCTGCTAGTTCTGGAAGGACATTTCTTGACTTTTCTTTACAGCTTCATAAAAAAGGTCTGTCATCATGATCTTTGCATCAATAGAAAGTACATATCTTTCAGATAATAATTAATTCAACCAAAGTAATTTATCGTAAATTTGGAGACATGGGAAGAACATTTCAAAATCATTTGTCCCTAAGTAACACAAAAATATAGATAGTTTTGTTTTCTAAATCATGCACAAGAAAGTATGTTATTTTCTCTTCATTTTTTGATACCTAAAGAGGCAAACTTTCCCAGTACATGAACTACAAAATTTAAAAAAAATCATGAAAATAAACCTTTTCAATACTTTTAAAATTATCAACATCTTATTTGCTTTTTTTTTTTTTTTTTTTTTTTTTTTTTTTAACATTTATTAATTTCAGAATAGTCACAATTTCATTTGTCATTATTTCCGGACAATAACAATATGAACACCAATTTTATATTTATCAGCTACAAAACGTGGATCATATCTACAACATGTATTTTTCAGCTACGTCATGAGCTCTATATCCAGACGTTGTTAAATAAAACATGATGAATTCATACGATCTACGCATGCGGAGAATATCTAATCTTTGTTAGAAAAGACTATATGGAGCATTGTATGTATTCAATCCTCTTCACAGTTTAAATGGTTTGATTTCGTTTTAATTACCAACACTTTCAGCAAGAAAAGAGTCGGACAGAAGAAGTTTCAATTCAATTATCCCTGTAAAGGCGTCACTTCCTCTGTTCTTTTCGTCTGCTCTTCCCTAAATATATTCCTCCGTCGATTACACTTGATCATACGACATAGTTCCCAACGGAAAGATCTTCCACACAAAACATAAATACCAAAGTTAATGCAGTAGTTTGTATAACTGACAACTGAAAATAGTTCCAAATATGGCCTCATCTTCAACAATTTGTGCTGACCAATATGTCGTCTGCTTTCGTCTGTGTAATACAGAAGGACACTCGTGCACAAAAACTGAGGAAACATGGTGATGATGAACACAAAGCCTATCAATAGTAACATGGTTGTCGTCTTCCTCGTGCTGCCTAAAGATGGCGGACAGTCATTTCCTGCCTCTTTCTTTATGACGTAAATCTGGTAGATTACCGCGAAGTTACACGAGAGAACGATGACGCAGGGTAAAGCGAACAGTAGACTAAGATGATAGCCGTACTGGTGTAGATGAACATACAGGGATAAGTATTCCTCTACCGCCATACAGTATCCTCTCACGTTCTCTATGAATAGAATCCTGAAGATCTGTGTCAAAGACAAGATGGCCATGGTTATTGTTACGAGAATCGCAACGCTAAACCTTCTACGAAGAAATGTTCTTTTGAAGGGGAAACACACAGCTTGAACTCTTTCTATTGATAAGCACACAATTAACCAAGATGATCCAAGAAGAAAAACGTGCTTTAAGAAGTTATAAATCTTGCATACACTGTTTGGAAGGTCTGTATAGAAGCTGAACTGATGCCCGGATTTATACACAACCATTTCATCTGCCAGTTCTACTTGGTTGATGATCAAATTAAGACTGTCAAAGACGGCCAGTACACATAGTAGTTGACTGTACGATTGCTTGCGCAGTCTCTGGGAGTAGCACATCACTAAGAAAGACAACGAATTTCCGGTCAGTCCGACAGCAGTAACCACAGGGGTCGCCACGTGTTTTACCCAGAATCCCCAAAGTGGCACTTCCGGAGGATTAACTAAAAAAATTTCTTCCATATTATGAATACATGCATCTATCAAAAAATAACTTTATTCCAAAGTATTAAATAATAATAAGAAAGTAAAACGTACATATAATGGTGCCGTTCCTGGAACTATTCCATATCATGGTAAAAGATCCATTATTATTATCCATATCACTGAAAAAGAGATGGACAGGTCCAATGAAAATGAATTTAAAAACAAATGTTTAAGAAACTGTTGATTGTTGGCCGAAACAGCTAGAATTCATCAAATAAAATAAAAATAATTTCATTTTTGCATGTGTTATTTGGACAAGTGAATGCTGACATATGTTAGCTGCTACAGGCGGTCTACGCTGTTGACATCACCTTGTTTAGATCAATTGATAACGATCCAAGTTTCCTTTTTACAATCATTTTATAACATCTATGAGCAACTATCCTGACTTCATAATTCTATTTTTGAAATTTTATTCTACTTAATGTGACTGAAATACCAAGTGTATAAGTTAATAAATTTACAGCCAGTAAAAGCCTCAATTTTCCGCAGTGTTTGTTAAATAGAGGTGATTATAATGATATTTTTTTTATATTTTGTTACCTTCTGCCATTGAATACACAGAAAATATTGAAATAAATACGTTCATCTAATGAATGACCTAAAAACACCAGGACACGATGACCTTATTGAGTGGCGGGAAAAGTCTCAGCTGATGTTACTAGTCCTCAGCCATTCTGTTAAAACAATACAAGTCTCAAGTGCTTAATGTATTTACAGATAAAGGCTTACTAAGTATTCATGGATAAAGGGTTATTTTTTACTGTAAGAAACCATTTCATTGAAAATTGTCATCTATGGTGAAATATAGAAAGGGGAGTTTAAAGAAAACACATATTTATCTTTCAAACTATTTAAAGATATTGTTGACGTTTAGTAAAGAATAAGGCTTGATTGGATGTTACCTTATTTTACGTCAGTATTTGAAAAGAACTTTCGAATGTCGAAATTAGTTAAAAAGTTATGTTTTATTTAAGGATCTACCAAAATGTATTGTTAATAATTTTTTTTTTTACCTTGATGAAGAAAATTGTTGCTTAAGGTGGTAAGCTTTTTTTTAAAATCTCTACTTATTAAAATACTACCGTCATAATTATCATATATGGTCATATTAATTTTTCTTGCTACCTTTTTTCAACTATATATATGTACTCTTCTATCGGCGCTGTTAACTTTTCAGTTTGTGGGGCTTATATTGGCAGAAAAACTGATGAAAAAGTACATACCCAAGACATTTTCAAGAATAATTAATAAGGCCTGATTGGTGTATGTATGTTCACTGTTTCAGTTTGTTGTTTAAAGCGGTACGATTTTATTTAAAAAGCTCTGCTTGTTAGGTAACGTCATGATTATTTACGATAAAATCAAGAGAAACTTGCAACGCATTTCAAAGTGCGTCATAATGTCCCTATGTATGTTGCGTCACGGTTCAGTAAGTTGTAAAGAGCATTGCCATAATTCTTTTTTTATAAGTCATATGCAATGTAGTTTGAATGAAGGACCCGTGTGTAATACTTTTAATGTCTATATATGGATTTGTACTCCTCGTCTAAAACAATTTTTGATGAAAAAAATCTGAAATTCATGTTTTGTAATTTTTGTATATTTTTCTTTGAATATTACAAAAATTTTCACAATTTGATATCTTTTTGAAACCCCTGGTAATGCATGCTGATTGTTTTGTCTAAGAACATGTAATGGTATTGTAAGTTTAAATTTAGAATATCTTGAAAAGTTATCAGTAGGTGGGCTACATTGCGCATGTCCTTAAATACATAAAATTTCCAAAAAAAATGAACATGATGAATACTACTATTATAGTGGTACTATCCTTTCGATTCACTGTAAACTTGACAAAACAAAGGATGAAACATATGGAGATAACAAACGGTATTCAATATCAAAAGTACGAGGGTTGTTCAAAAAGTTCGTGGACAACTGTCATATCTTTTTTACTTGATGTCATATGTTATCCAAATTTGGTACATATATTTTACCAATAAATCCAAAAAATTTGTACTAAAGTTTTTCAAAATATAACGATTTATTCAAAACTTATCTAGATTATAAAAATGCAAAAATCCGATCGCGGAGCAGGTCAAAAGTTGGCAAGTTACAAACAAAACGCTCAATAATGTCTGAAGTCATAATCTCTGTAAAATGGAGCAAAAACGAAAAACAACATAGAAATTCAAAATAAGAATTGTTACATCGTTTAAAAAAATATGGCTTTTTTGTTTTGTTGAAAGCAATCGACATGAGAAGATAGGTAGTCCTTATTGAAAACGACAAAAACGATGACGTTTTAGAATGTCACGGAGCAGCAAATAACGATGCAATTTTGTGTTTTACTTAGGAAAAATCCTGAATAAACGCCAAAAAAATTAATTGGAGGAATCAAGACATATGTAACAAATGAGTTGTGCATGTGTGTACAAATAGTAAAGGCAGTATTTGAGTGACAGAGACACAGTATCGGACGAGGATAGTCTGTGAAGAAACGGCTTAACTGTAAAAATCTGAACAAAAACTTTGAAAAGTTGGAACGTCAAGAAAAGACATGGGCGCTTCAGAGTTGCTTATCATGTGAAAGCAGAGTTAAGTAATTAAAGAAATTAAAACCTTAACAAAGGCAATTATATAACGAAAGCAATTTTTTAAGAATAAATTTAGAATATTTAGAAAAAGGATTTAATGTATGGGCATTGGATTATACTCCGTGAAATATAAATGGATAGTATTTTTTAGGAATTCTTGACGCTATGTTTTGACGTTAAATTGCCGTTAAGTGTGCTCCGCGGGTACAAAACATGTTGATTTTAAACTGAAGTTAATTGATTTCTATTAAATCGAATCGAATGAAACTTCACACATCAACAAAACAAATATTTTAACATATTATATTGTACTTATTCTAAATTTTTAGCGAGTAATATAAAGTAGATTGAAATCGTCCACGAAGTTTTCGAACGACCCTCGTATTTAAAATAAGATGTGATTGAATAAGTATAAAGTACTCACAAGAAATCGAAAAATCAGAATATTAAACGTTTATAAACATCCCTTTGCTTATATTCATAAAAAAAATCACATGCCATTGTTCATAATTTCAAAAGTACTAACATGTTTGCACTACTCGTTAATGATATATCTATTCGAGTTACATCAAGGGTGCATTGTGTCCGTTTAATTAAATCACGAGAAAGCGATAAACTTCTGTGTATGACAAGATAAAAGTACAACCTGAAGTTAAACACTGATATCAGTACATAGATATCATACTCATTAATATTGTGAACATCAAATTATAGAAATGAAGATAAACACCATTATAACATCATTCTCATCTATTTTATGGACAACAAAATTACTATAATAGGCAAAATGTTAGACATAACCTGTGTCGGGATAAGGAGCCTTAAAGGAGTAAATATTCCTCACTCTCTATCCAAATTGTACATAAGGCATTGTTACTAAATTGCTGATGGTTTTCTGTCTCGTTTTCCCGATCATGACAAGGAGCGCACTGTATATGTTAAACAGGCCTGCAGCTGATGCTCACTCCTCCATGGAATAATTATGTGATCCCACCTCTGACATTTTGGAGGTCCGTATATGTATTTGCTCTGTTTCATAAAAGAACTGTTTAATTTGACTTTAAGCTTGAAAACAATTCGTTATCACCATGAAACATAAGGAGATAAAAAGCAGTATTAAAGCTAAGCACAAAAGTCAATTAAACAATACAAAATAGGAGGAGAGCTAACAATTGCAAGGACCTAAAAACAACAAAGTTCAACAAGGAGTAGGATACCCCTGCCGAGCTGTGTGCTCCTTGTCATGATCGGAAAATAACGGGAAAATCCATGGACAATTATGTAAATAATTCCTTAACAATGAGTATGACAAACGTCAGTCAGCATTGACTTATGATAAATTGTTTTTGTGACAAGGTAATTGTATCGACCAAAGAATCTATGAAATGATGACTTTAAGCTAAACTGTCGATATTCTTATTTCATCAACCTGTTTCGTCAACAATTCACCTCGTTTTAGAAATTGTACATACGTACAGCATGATCTTTCGTATCGAATCAACTGAGAGAAAATATACCCCGTATGCAGGTGATGAAGGTATATTTCTGCAGAAGTCAGAGAAATTGAAGATTGGAAAGTTAAAGTCATCACATTAACCATAACGCAGGGTTGTAAGATTACCATTAATGCCTATTTTTCGAGTAAAATATCCAAATATATGCCAGACTTTATTGCATCATGTTCACCGAGATATAGAGCATCGAAAAAAAAAATGGAAATAACCACTGTTAGATGACAATACGTTGTTGTATATCTCAATGTCGAATCGAAGGTCACATAAAATGCTTTCTTCATTACGCGTTTAAGATTTTGGACATACATAATATTCTACTTCATATGATTACAAAAATAGGACTGCTACATGTAATAACGGGTGCAATTGGTACCCATGGAGATTCCAATACATTGTAGGAAGACCTGGCCTCCAAAAACTACATAGATATTTTCAATCAAAAGCTCAAGCATCTTTTAATATCAAATTCAGAGTGCTTGTGTGTATAATCAGAATGTTTTTTTAACAAAATAACTTTGTAAATGAAATTTTCCATCATAAATTTATTTCAAATTCTGCCCATGGATGCATATCTTTGCTCAGCGAAGCAAAGCAAGAAAATCTATATATAAAATATGTAGGTATACTGAGTATATGAATACATATGTATAACAAAACAATATTTTCAATACGTATTTTTTTTATTTTCATTAATTCAACATCCATCCCGAAAAGGATGTTCTGCTTCGAAGGATACTTTGAAAGTTCTTGCGTGTGTGATCTCCTGTGCGCACATAAATGTGGTCTCCTTGATTAATATCTGCCACAACAATGCCAGTGGCAAAATCCTAATCTGCTGTACTAGTCGAGTCCGCGTCACGTGTGC